GGCACCACCACCACCAACACCACCACCAACCAGCCCTCACCACCAACACAACCACCAACACCACCAACACCACCACTACCAACACCGCCACCACCAACACCACCACTACCACCAACAACACCACCAACATCACCACCAACAACACCACCAACATCACCACCACCACCAACATCACCACCACCACCAACATCACCACCAACACCACCAACACCACCACCAACACGAGTGACTATTAAACCGAACCGATCCTGGTACCTCCCCTAGGTCGACTCGGCCTCGAATGAGTCAGCCGTCGCAGTCGGCTGTAAAAACATCGCCCACCGGGGAGACAAAGGCGGCCGGGCATGGCGCTAGCCACGTGTGCCCTTGCCCACCGTCATAGAGTGGCTCTTACTCGCTACTAACAGCAACTTGCATCCTAACAGTCTGTTGAGGCTATAGAGGGGGAAGGGTGGAGTGGGAGAGGGGGGGGGATCTTTGTCGTGTGTTGGTGCAGGAGGCACAATGGGGTTTGAATAGAGGAGGAGGAGGGGGGGGGGGTAGCGCCCGTGATGTGTGGTTCTGCGTCGGGGTGTGTTTGCAGACTGAGCAGATGTCACCAGTTTTCCCACGCGTTGGAATGCGTGTCCCAGAACTCAAAGCCCCCCACCACCGCACCCGCCCTCAAACTGACTCAATCACCCCCACCCCCATACACACACCCACCCACTCAGCCATCACACACCCACCCACTCAGCCATCACACACACACACATCCATACACACACCCAGTCACCCATACACACACCCACTCACCCATACACACACACTCACCCATACACACACACACCCACGCATACACACACCCACTTACTCATACACACACACACCCATATACACACCCACCCATACACACACACATACACACACCCACGCATACACACACCCACTTACCCATACACACACCCACCCATACATACACCCACCCATACATACACACACCTACTCACCCATCACACACCCTCCCATACACATACCCATACACACACCCCACTCACCCATACACTCACCCGTACACACACCCACCCATCACACACACACTCATCCATACACACACCCACACACACTCAAACTCACCCATACACACACCCACACACCCATACACACACACACCCATCTACACAACCACCCACCCTCCCACCAACCCACGCACACGCAGACATACCCCCACCCCCACACCACCGACTCAATCACCCATCCCACACGGCCATCCACCCATAACGCGCGTGAACTCGCGCAAGCGGTACACCCACCCACCGACAGACCTACTCAATTGCCCGCCCACTCACCCACCACCCTTCTACCCCGCACACACAGCTGTACACCCTCAAACCATCCACCACTCCCACCAACAAGACAAAGACAAAGATGCCCCGTGTAGCCTTCACAGACCATCGGAGGCAAGTGCTGTTGGCGAGTAGCACCAATGAAGGCCGGCACGGCACACGAGGGGGTGGGTGGGTGGCCAGCACCGCCTTTGTCTCGCCCAGTGGCGATGTTTACTACACACCGCACCGGGTACTCATTTTTAGGCCGAGTCGACCTAGGGGAAGGCCCGGGACCGGTTCAGATAATCGTCAGCGGTGTTGGCCACAAGCGGGATTGGAGCTCGGTTCGCGTGGTGCTGGCCGCTACCCACACAAACCACCCACCCACCCATCTCGCCTGCCCTCTAACCCTCATCCTCCCCCCCCCACCACCACGGACCCGGCCACCTTATAACACGACCTCAACCTTCAAATTCTTCGTGCAATAAAGCTGCTGCCCCCCCCTCCCCTCAATCACAATGCCAACAGAAGGCAGGACAAACTAAATAAATGAATTAAAACCGCCCCGTTCGCCGGCACCACCACCACCATCCAACCAACCAACCACACACAGCGCAACAAAGGGATATTGTCAGAGCGGATCATTGTGACCGCGTAACCAGCCCCCCCCCCACCCACTCACCCCCCCCTCCTCCTCCCCACCAATGCAGCGACGAAGACGTTGGTAGTAGATTTGGGCACAATTGACGGCCGCTTGCTCGTTCCAAGGCGCGGCGGGCCGTTCACTTTTCTCCGTCTCTCTCTCGCTCCTCCGGAGAAATTTTTTTGTTTGTGGGTTTGGCTGCGGTGGGGTGGGGGGGCGGTGGGGGTGGCCCCGAGTTATTCCATCGGCGTCGCCCGGCGAAGATTTGCTGCCGCGTTCGTTCGAAGCGATTCGTGTCGAGAGTACCAGTCAATTTTCACGACGACGACGATGAAAAGTCGCTTCGTTGAGCCATCGTTGGCGAGAGGTCGCTTCTAAAAGAAGAGCTTACGTTAGCTCAGTGGCAGCCTTGCCTGGTAAAATAAAAAAAATAGTGGATAGTTTTATAGTAGGGGTGGGAAACGTTTTTTCTGCCAAGGACCATTTGAATATAACATCATTCGCGGGCCATACGCAATTATCAACTTAAAAATTAGCCTGTTATATTTGGGCAAACATTTAATTAACTCACCCCTAATGCGATGGCTGGAACTGCTTCTCCTTTGGCGAGGCATGTGATGTTAGCTGGTATCACACACACATCCATACACACACACACCCATACACACAAGCACCCACCCATACACACACACACCCATACACACACCCACTCACCCATACACACACAACAACAACAACAACAACCGCCATTCGCCACTAAGTGGCGGTGACGTCACCACGATGCTTGTGCCAGGCCAAGTGCACCTTGAGGCCACGTGAAGTGTCGAAAGCCCGCTGGCAGGAGGTCACGGGGCAGACCCAGGTGCCACTGGTCGACTGACCGAGATGACCGAGATGACTGGCTGATGCACCACCTGTGCCCCCTACTGTGCCAACTTGCTGTGCTTTAGCCACCCGGCGCTCCGCTCGTTGTTGTGAGCGTCGCTCCTCCGCCCTCCGTTGTTGTTGGAGGGCGACTGCCTCCAACTGCCCAGTAGCGTCCTTCACGAGCCTCCTCCACTGAGACCGATCTTGACACCGCTGGTACCAGTCATCGGCAAGTCCACTCAGCTCCACGTCCTCCTGTACCACATCACTCCATCTCTTCTCCAGCCCGTGCCGCGCCCGTCTAGCCCCCTCGATCCGGCCGAACAAAAGCTGTTTAGGCATGCGGTGGCTGGGCATGCGGGCTACATGACCCAGCCAACGCAGCCTTGCCTGCCGGAGGAGCTCACTGATGGGACTTTGCCCAGATCTTTCAAGGATTTGTGAGCTCCTCACACAATCCAGCCTGGTTAAACCCAGGATGGATCGTAGGCAGGCCAGCCTAAATGTTTCCAACCGGCGAAGATGCTCCACCAGGGGGGTCCACGTCTCGCAAGCGTAGAGAAGGGAGGGAATGACCGTGGCCGAGAAGACCTGAAGCTTCGTGCGGAGCGACAGACCAGGTAGCTTCCACACAGCGTTACGCAACCGATGAAAAGATATTGCCGCTCGACTGATTCGGAGTGAGACCTCTGCTGATAGACTGGAGCCGGTCATAAGCACACTGCCCAGGTATGGGAAACTCTCCACTCTCTCCACAACTGCCCCATCACCAATTGGGAGTTGTGGGGGTGGAGTGTCCGATGGTACAAAATACCCAGGCAGGTGCTTGGTTTTGGTGGGGCTGATGGTAAGGCCCCACCTCTTAGTGGCACGCTCCAGTCTCAGCAGCAGCGCCTCCAACTCCTCTTCTGAATGAGCAGCTATTACCAAATCATCGGCATACATAACGTGGTTGACCAATAGGGAGCCATCCCTTGATCGCACCCGGGCGTCGATCAGCCTCCCATTATATCTGTACCAAACGGAAATTCCCCCGGTACAGCTATTGAAGGCTTCACGAACTACGCGGTCAAAATAGATGTTAAATAATGTGGGAGCCAGAGGACATCCCTGTCGCACCCCAAGGTGTACAGGGAAAGGCTCCGACTCCCGGCCACGTAGTTTTACCCGGGCCCGCTCACCATCATGAAGGCCCTTAATGATCGTGAGCAGAGGGTCAGGGACTCCGAAAGCACGAAGAACAACCCAGAGTCCAGTCCTACTGATGGTATCATAGGCCTTGACCAGGTCAATAAAGCAGAGATGTAGGTCTTTTTGGAATTCCCTACACCTCTGCTGTAGCAGACGGACAGAAAATATGGCATCTGTGCAGGACCGCCCTTTCCTGAAACCGCATTGGGGCTCCGCAAGCCCCTACCCGATACCCGGCTACCCGTACCTGGCCGGGTATCGGGTAGGGTACGGGTACCCGATTGCGACCTCTGGGATGAAGCCATGTTGCAGGCGTGGGTGGGTTGATTCTAGGAACTTGAATTGTGAGAAGAGACAAGACGTTGGGAAATGAGTGACAAACGGTTACTCACCAGTGACTCACGGCCTACCCGTAGCTGTACCCGGCCGCACCAGGGTCGCAAACGGGTACCCCGCTACCCGTACCCGGCCGGGTACGGGTAGCCGGGTATCGGGTAGGGTACGGGTATCGGGTACCCGGTTGCGACATCTGGTGTTCACGTAAGCTGTCGGATTGCTGGAACGAACGCGGGCGAAAGTGCCTGCCGATTTTGACGAGTCTCTAAATTGTCGCGACGACGCTGCCATCTCTTTGACGCTTTGGAATGCGCGAAAGTTTGTTCGGGAAGTGAAATGTTTTGAAAGAAAATATATAAAATACGAGATGAACCTTAATCGCGACGACGGTATTGGTGAAAAACGGGCGGAAAAAATTGCTGTCCGCCATTGTATCGTACGATACGGAGTGCGGTTATCGTCACACTGCGGCAAGCCGACTGGTGATTACACCGGGGCAAATCGCTGCGTATCCAGCAGAGGCCGTGATGATTATGACGTTGCAGCGTTGTTTTTGTTATAGTCACAATTATAACTTTGTGTTGTTTTGTTTGTGCCGCGATATTGACCGTTGCTGCGTTTGTTTTTTGTGCGTGTCTCTCTCTCTCGTGACTCAGGGCTGAACTGCCTGGACCCTCAACTGGCGTGCATGAACGGGGGCCGCTGCGTCACGAGGCAGACCAACGCCACCGGAGCCTGCGTGTGAGTGTTCGGAATCGCCGGCGACCAATTTATTGTGTGCGCCGCGGGGGGTAAACCCAACGCCCAACCTGCGAGCGTGACGTGAATCTTCATAATCCGTTTAACACGTAGCAGGCTTTCGCGACCAATATTATTCATAATCAACGTTTTTGGGTTTAGATCGCGTTATTTATAAATGTGTCGTAACCCTCCACCACCCGACACGGCCAATCAGTAAAAAAGTGTCACGTTGACAAAAGACAAATAGTTTACTGCTGAATCTGCCGTTAGGGGCAGGGGGCGATGATTGCTGTGTTTCGATTGAAAGCTTTCGTGACTGCAGGGATTCATCTTCTTGGTTCTTTCGGTAAAGTCACGTAGAAGGGAAATAATAAAATAATAAAAAATTTAACATAAAATAAAACAATAAAATACAATTCTCACGACGTTTCGGCCACACCGACAGCCCTGTTCTTCACCTGAGGACGGCTGCTTGCGTTGTGGCCGAAACGTCGTGAGAATTGTATTTTATTATGTTTGAATTTTTTTTTATTTCCCTTTTACGTGACTTTCCCGAAAGAACCAAGAAGATTGCTGTGTTGTGTAACCTAGGGGGGTACCCCCAGTAGCAGCTGTCCCTGTGCGTTGCAGGATAACCCAATGCCCGGCCTACGAGCGGGACATGAGTCTGCCAGTAGGGGCGGCGGTGGGAGGGGGGGCGATGATTGCTGTGTGTGTGTGTGTGTCCCCGGTTTGGGTAATTTGCGGTGTCGTTCGTCCAACTTGAAAAACGTGGACCGTCGTTCGCTTCCACAGAAAGAAAAAAAAACTAGCACCTGTTTCATAAACGACGGCTGTCCCCAAAGGCGTCATCCGTGCTTTCATGTTCACGGTATAATGGTAGTTGGACAGCGTGAAAGAGTAGGCCAAATACCCTGTAGAGAGACTCTCTCTTGAGAGAGAGTGGCGACCCTTCCACCGGAAGTGGCGTGGGTCAGGAATTGCAAGGGCTGCTTTGCCTCTTTGACCTTTCTAATCAGAAAGGTCAACAAGTCGTGCGGTGGGGCACAGTGGGTTGGCGCGCCATTGCGCTCCGAACCCGGCCACCCGAGTTGGATTCCCAGGCCCTGGCGAGTGACGTCCAAAACCGCACCTCCCCCAACCCGCACGGACCGGCGTGGCGAAGTACGGTCAGACAAACTCTTACGGGCGAACAGGAGACGCGGGCCCGGTGCAGGCCTTCAACCCGATGAAGGCCCGCACACACACACACGCACGCACGCACGCACGCACGCACGGGCACGCGCGTAACAACGCACGGGTAAACCAAACTAAGCCACGTGGCGCACGCAGCCCATTCCCAGGGACGATTCTCTATATTTCATTTTTTACCTACATGGTGACTTTACCGAAAGAACTAAGTATGAATCCTTGCAGTCACAAAAGCTTCAAATCTAGGACGAGTCTCTGTTCCCGTTTCGCGTGGCGCTGCATCCCGACGGGGGCAAGCGGCCCACACGGCTGCCAAGCGCACGTGAAGTCCTTGTGGGTTCGTGCCGTGTCGGATTTCCCAAGCGGCTGCGGATGGTTTCGCGGGTGCGATGTTCGGCATTTCGGCACACCCCGGCCATCACCACCAGCCATTGTGTGTCCCCTTTAAGACCCCCGGAGCCATTGTGAGTCTCCCATTGTGAGCAGCTTTTTGGTGGGGGGGGGGGCAGCGCCGGTCGGCCCCACTTTGCCCCCCACCTTGCCCCCTCCTTTTAAAGGGGGCCGGTGCGCACAGGTGAGTTTCGTCGTCGCCAAACGTTCGTGGTTTTGACGGCCCGCGCGCCGGCCTGATTCATAACCGCGGTGGAGCGGTTTTAACCAAAACGATAATAATGAAGCCGACGATGACGACGATGCCAACGATGCCGATACACGCTTTCCCCGCACACACTTCGCTCCCAGCGGACGAGACACATCCCGTGACCTAAGGTCACCCCCGTCATCATCGTCGTCATCACGATCCATGGGCAGTTAGAGAGCCTGCAGGGGTTCCACGGCACATTTGGTCATGTGACCCTAGGGGTGGTGTCAGATTATGCTCCGTCCCATGGGCTGCGTAGGCTCGGTTCGTCGGCCTTACGTTCTCCACCACCACCACCCCATCCCCCACCGTGCATGTTTATCTGCGGAGCGGAGAAGTGCGGGCAACCTCTCCCTGCCTCCTTTCCTGCTTTCTTTATAGCGGAGGTGGGTGAGTGGGTGGGTGGGGTGGGGAAGCACTTTGATACTGCCCAGGGCTGTCCTCAAATAAGCAAAAACATAGCACCCCCACCCCCCCCCAGAGTAGCTCAAGGTGGGGGCAGGGGGGGGGTTTGGGGGGCGCTCTCAGGATTAAAGACAAATTGTGAAGGGTCCATGGAATCTTTCTTAACGTTTTCTCTCTCTCCAGCCAAACGTTGGGACATTTTTTTTACACTCTGGGCTGTGCTTTTTAAATGGGTGGTGGTGGGGTGGTGGGGGTGGTGATGGTGGTGGGGGTGATGATGATGGTGGGGGTGATGATGATGGTGGGGGTGATGATGATGATGGTGGGGGTGGTTGTGGGGGTGGTGGGGGTGGTGATGGTGGTGGGGGTGGTGAGGGTGGTGGGGGTGGTGAGGGTAGTGGGGGGTGGTGGGGGTGGTAGTGGGGGGTGGTGAGGGTAGTGGGGGGTGGTGGGGATGGTAGTGGGCCACCTGTGTCTCTGTTGCCGCCGCCGCCGCGTGGGCAGGTCACCGTCCTGCCTGGGTACGACGGGCAAGCACGGCAAGAGAGGGGGGGGGGGGGTCCATTGAACCGTGAAAGTCGAGTTTAGCATGGAAGTCCAGTTTACCATGGGAGTCCAGTTTACCATGGAAGTCCAGTTTACCATGGGAGTCCAGTTTACCATGGAAGTCCAGTTTACCATGGGAGTCCAGTTTACCATGGAGGGAGTCCAGTTTACCATGGAGGGAGTCCATTTTACCATGGAGGGAGTCCAGTTCCCTGTGGGAGTCCAGTTTACCATGGGAGTCCAGTTTACCATGGGAGTCCAGTTTACCATGGAGGGAGTCCATTTTACCATGGAGGTCCATTTTACCATGGGAGTCCATTTTACCATGGAGGTCCATTTTACCATGGGAGTCCAGTTTACCATGGGAGTTCAGTTTACCATGGGAGTCCAGTTTACCATGGAGGTCCATGGGCGCTTCTCGTTAGTTCGGTTTGCCGTGCTTTTCGATCGCGGCATCTCCCCCCCCCCCCCTACCTTCCACCGCCGCCGTGGGCTCGGCGTGCCGAAGCCGCGAGCGTTGAAAGGGCCCCGCGGTTATTTCCAGAATTTTAAGTCGATTATTTTGAGAAGGCGGTGCGGGGGGCGGTGGTGGCGGCAGGGGGGCGGGGAGTGGGGGTGGTATGGGGGGGGATGGGTGGGTGGGTGAATATCGGGCGGAGGAGTTTGATTGACCGGTCGTGTGCACCGAAATTCGCGCCAATTCAACTTTGCCAGCAAGCCGCCCCCCCCCCCCCCCCATTTTTTATTTTTGTCTCCTCTCCACCGCCTTTGTTTTGAAATCCTGCGGAAGCTCCTTGTCGGCCGGATGGCACGGAGATGTCGCCGGCATCGCCGATGGGACCGGCACCGCCGCTGCCAATCCGGGGCTCTGCGTCGGTGACGGCCGGCGCTCTCGGGGGGAGCGAGAGTCGATGGTTTCGCCAACGACTTGTTACCCAGACACCCGGGGTTGGTCCGGGTGCGGGATGGTGCGGCTGCTTAGTTAACATCTCCTAGCCTACCGCGGCGGCCCTAAATCTGCCAACCGATAATTAGTTTAATAACGATCGCACGCACGGACCCCGCCGTGTGGCTGCGCGCTTGCCAAAACGCTGTTTTCTTAGCGCAGCTTCTGTGCCGCGATTGACCGGTCATGTGGTAAAGCAGCTCCCTCTGGTTGGGTTGCTCTGCAGTGAACTTCAATAAAACTGAATAATGCCTGAGCCTACCAATGTCATGCCACCAAGTGTCTACACAGGCTAGTGTGTGAATGGATTAATGACACACCCCCCCCCCCCCCCCCCCCCCCCGATTGCGAGGGTATCCCCTCGTTACTCGCTGCGGCGGATACGCTCGGGAGATGCTCGTGAATTTCAAACTTTGCGGATAATGATATGGGACGACTTAAAACTGAAATGAAATACGCTTCCAATCTCGTCACTTTATCTCTCATCGCATTCTCTCTCCCAATGATCCGATCGAAATCCCTTATTTCGATCGGATCTTCGGGGTTTATTAGTAATAACTCGGCATTTTGCGACCCCCCCCCACTGCCACTGTGCAGCATATTATTACGTATCAGGGACTCTATGAGATGATAGGACAATAGTCCGAGTCCATAATTGGCATTAAGTAGCGGCAAAGCGGCTATAAGTGACTCACATAATTGTGCGCAGTTGCGTAAACAGCGCACGACTTCCCTGAAGGCATCAACACCTTCAGCGAGCGCGATGCCGATCACACGACGCGGTTCGAATTCGACCCTCGATCGACGGCTGTGCCATCGCCGCACACTACTCGCACACGCTACTCTACGCTACCATACACTACACTAAACTACACAACTATCCACTACGCTATACACGACGATACATTATACACTACACTACACCATTATACACCACACTAAACACCACTATCCACTACACTATACACTTCTGTACACTACTCTACACTACTATACACTACACGACACTATACACCACAATATACACTACACGACACTATACACTACACTACTATACACTACATTATACACTACACGACACTATGCACTACACTATACACTATAAACTACACTGTACAATACACTGTTACAGCGTCACATTGGTTCCCTGTCGTTGTCTCCCCTCGGTGTGGAACTCTATAGCCCTTGGCACATCTGCAACATCGACTGCACTCCAACATTGAAGAAAGGGCCTAAGAAAGGCCTCCTCAAATCGCTGCGTTTGAGTCGGGG